TTGCAAGCGGAAGGGGGTCACTTTCAGCACCTGTTATAAAGCACGGTATGTTTGTGTTATCTTTTTACAGTATTCTTATAAATGTGTGCATGTACAGAAACTGATGTAAGGGTATCAGCGACACGACTGCACTCTCGCTAGCGGTGAGGGGCACAGTAGTCGCGGAGAAACGTTCCATCCGCTCTACGCTGCTGCCCCGGTTTCCTCGATCTTTGAACACCCTGTATTACTAATTATGAATATATATATATATTTTTTTTAATGAATTGTGATTTCGAATATAAGCCGCGCCCCAGTTTTCCTCTTGAATTTTTGGCAAAAGTGTGCCGCCTATACATGCGTAAATACGGTATATGTACACATTGAATAGTTGTATCTTCTGTGATATACTCATATTTAGTTCTTTGAAAGCCAACCAACGTTTCCAGTTGAAGAGTAAGCCAAACACAACCCGGCAGAAAGCAGGCCACAAGCAAAGCTTTTCTTACTGCCTCCTTCAACGGCCTGCGCGGCGGCGTTGTATCCCAGAAGATATAACTCGTCCTAACAACCGCTCCGAGAACTCAGATCCTACACTGCGCTATATCCCAGAAGACAGAACTCTTCATAGCCACAGCTGTGAGAATCTCAGAACCTGCACAGCGCTATTTCCCAGAAGATAGCACTTTTCATAACCACCGCTGCGAGAACTCAGATCCTACGTAGCGCTATATCTCAGAAGACAGAACTCTTCATAGCCACAGCTGTGAGAATCTCAGAACCTGCACAGCGCTATATCCCAGAAGGCAGGACTCTTCATAGCCACTGCTGTGAGAACCTCTGATCCTGCACAGCGCTATATCCCAGAAGATAGCACTTTTCATAACCACCGCTGTGAGAACCTTAGATCCTACACAGTGCTATATCCCAGAAGATAGAACTTATAACCACCGCTGTGAGAACCTCAGATCCTACACGGCGATGTATCCCACGAGACAGAACTCTTCATATCCACAGCTGTGAGCACCTCAGATTCTACACAGCGCTATATCCCAGAAGACAGAACTCTTCATACCCACAGCTGTGAGAACCTCAGATCCTACACCGCGCTATATCCCAGAAGATAGAACTCTTCGTAATCACCGCTGTGAGAACCTCAGATCCTACACGGCGCTATATCCCAGAAGATAGAACTCTTCGTAACCACCGCTGCGAGAACCTAAGATCCTACAAGGCGCTATATCCCAGAAGACAGAACTCTTCATAACCACAGCTGCGAGAACCTCAGATCCTACATATCTACGAGTATATAATTTTGAATTATTTGAGTGTCAACGTTTACAAGCACAGTGGCTATGGAAATCTTTAAAGTTTCATTGACATAGATCCCAGCTGCATTAAAACTCTCAGGTGAAACTCATACCTGTTAACTTTCATGTAGCTGGAATCGGTACTAGTGAAAATATGCACAGACATTGATTATGCTGCTATCATGGCGCCATCAAATTACTGCAACCGTTCTTGCAGTGATAATCTGGAAGCTATAGAATTGGATTTAGATACGATTATGGCCTTGGCCCAGTCAATCTGGTTTTCTTTTTGTGGTAACCACCTGTGTTTATCTATGGTATATAAATAAGTACTAACGATGCATAAAACAAATCCCTACGGTTAAAGAAGCTGGTTAAAATGGAAAACATCAATCGGGAAAATGCATTTACTCCTCTGATTTCTTACATACAAAATATTTTAATAAATGTGTTCGTTTTCGCTACTTCACCTGAGCAGATATTTATGGCGTATGTGTATTGGAGGACCTTACCTGTCATCAAAGTAGAAACCGCCACAGTGGGACATGCGAATGATTTCAGTGTCAGTAGTGAGCGTACCACTGTCCAGTGCACAGCCACGTACAGTGATTCGGTCACCAGTATCATCATAAACACCTGCCAGCTTGATGCACGCCGTGGCAGGGAATAATCCGTTGCGTCCCTTGCGTCCGCCCATGCATGGCGCCTCCAGAATCCCAGCGGTGAAGTTATTGTGGAATGGATCGTCACACGCTGGGTAGTTTCCGTTCAGGGACACGCATTTGAAGCAGTCGATAGCGAGCCCTGGAGTGCAAGTACGTAATTGTACTTAAACGTGTAATATTGATTCATTTAGACAAAATTTTGCTTCCTGCTTGATACATCACTGCCAGTACATCCTTTACCGTACCAATACTGGATGACAGGAAGAAAACAAAATGTTTATCTCACAAAATTCTGAAACAAGGATGAGCAAATACACACTTGGGGTGGCATTATCAATTATGCTTGAAGTCTGTCTGCTGTCTAGGCTCATGCTTTGGATTGTAAATCAAGTTGATAATTGAGGCTTGGCCAGCACGTTATATGGTACACAAAGCATTCCTCCAAATCAATGTTTCACAGAAGTAATGTATGATATAACGTACATACGTGTACATTATATGGACATGTACAAATTGTATTCAAGTTATTTTTCTCTCTGGTGAACACTTAGTTAGATGTACCAAGATTCATTTAAGCCCTAATTACTATTAACCTTAAAACGCTTTAAAGGGAAGAAAATTACACATGGTACTGACAGGAATATAACACAATTGTCATATCCATAGTTTCATGAAAACCTGTTACAGAGCCCAAGATATTATGACATGATGACTGAACCCCCGCCCCCGCCTCTACGTAATGGCTCGCTTACACGTCATGCAACAACAGAGGAGCTGTTTGAGTCGGTGTCTTCTATGCGGTCCGTTCCGAGGCTATATAGCAAGGGATGTTGATGAACAGAATTTATGTATTCAAAATTTCTCCCAAATTTACTTCCGATAAGCCTCTTGTCCACTACGGGCAAACTATTCGAGAAGCTGATTTTAAGAAGAATCCAAAAACATATCGAGGAAAGAAACTTACTAAACTCAAGTAAGTTTGGCTTTCTATCACATCACAGTACGACACTTCAATGTATGAGACTGAGGGATGACATCACCCTAAATTTCAACAATAATATGTCGACAGCTGCTGTGTTTTCAGAAACCGAGAAAGCCTTCGACACAACGTGGCACTCTGGCCTACAATGTAAATTGTCAGAATTAGAATTTTTGAAAACTCTCGTTCAGCTACAATTACTCCTTTTCTCATTGAGAGAAAATTTGAAGTCTTCGTAGAAGGCGAATTTTCTACGCCAACAAAAATAGTGGCAGGTGTTCCTCAAGGTTCCGTCCTTGCACCAGTATTGTACAGTCTATATATAAATGATGCTCCCGCGGCACCTGGAACTCGTCTTGCTCTGTTCGTGGACGATACCTGTATTTACGCGCCAGAGAAACAAGAACGTCGTGTTCTTCGCAAACTGCAACGCGGGCTCACTACAGTGAATTCGTGGTGTGGGCGCTGGAACATAAAGATCAATGAAGGGAAAGCTCAGGCGATCTATATCTCCAGAAGACTTAAAGTCTATGACGATGTACTACAACTAAACGGACGAGACATTCAGTTTGTAAATAATTTAACATATCGTGGTGTCACCTTCTAGATGGTGACATGGAAACACCATATTGACAGGACTGTAGTCCAGGCCTTGCGCACGTACATAAGAACCTATTCTCTATTCAAAGGTTCGCGTTTAAGTACAAATATTAAAAGTACATTTTATAAAGATCTGATTATGTCAATTAGACTTATGCCTGTCCCCCCTTGGAGTATGCGGCGGACGCTCACCTCTTGAACTTGCAGCGCCTGGAGAACACAGTATTCCGAGCTGTTGGAGACCTTGACAGGTGCACACAAGTCCGCGAATTGTACATGGCTTTCAAAATTCCTTACGTATATGACTATATAAATGATTTGTGCAGCACACAGACAGGAGTAATCGTAAACCAGGTAAATCCAAATTTGTATGTGGTATTGGACAAGGAGAAGCCTTGAGTAGGAAGTACGTGTACAAAAGGCTTAAACTTGGTGGCGGTAAGGCCTACGGCAATTCAGCTGACTAACTGCAGTTTCAGAGTAGTTTCGTGAGTTAAGGCATTATCTGCTGTACAAGCCTGCTTTGGCAGAAAACCTCTCTATATTTTGTGTAAATATTGCTTAGTGCAGTGCAGTGACAAAGGGTCCATAGTGACCTGGATGCTGTAACAGCGCGGATATACTCGTGCTGAAACTGCAGTGCAACGAACGTAGCGTCTACATAAAAAGACTGATCCCTCCTTCGTCGAAGAGGAGGCCCAATTTCGAAAGACATACATATCTAGGAGAGATTAAAAATCTTGTCCTTGGATCTCGAGAAGACTGAAGCCAGGAATAACTGTGCTAGGGAAGGCCAGTAGCAATTTAACCTATTGACCGACCGACAGACTTTATGTGTGCTGTAGTTACAGTGATCTTTAGTGTTTGTAAATTAGTGAGAATGTTATAATTACTTGTAGTTACGTGTTATAAACGTTCAATAAATCCAATTATCAATCCAATCCCCGTGCCTAGTAAATAACGCGTGACAATATAAAAGCAAAATTTATTAGTCATGAGAAAAGAAGTCCTTAAAATAAATTACAGTGAGTGAAACTTACATACAATAGTACTTGCATAATATACGAGTATAAAGGTCGTATATGTAAACCAAGTTTTATGAAAATTCTTCAAATTTCTAAAAATAAAAAGTTAATTTAAACCCTTACATGAATCAGACTAAATAAAAACGAAAACTAGCTGAAAATTTTAGTGGAAATCTTCATTAACGTCGTGGCCGAACTCAATCTCCCTCTGTCGTCATATTTGGTTCGTGTACCAGAAGTTTCCTCAGGGTTTAAATGAGTTTGCTCGAAACATACATTTGCAGGACTTTGACATGGTGGGTAAAGTCAGTGAAGGATTACGGAGGATAAGTGCTACATAGAAAGAACTGCTAATGAACAGGTTACAGAATTATCAATTTCGAAGTCGAAAAGAGCACATTTGTTTCACAGCACCCACAGAACTAATACTATTGAACACCCCATCATGTTCATATTACAACACTACTGCCATCAAGAATGAAATGCTACTTCAAGCACTATCCTGTCTGGCCTCTTACAAGATGAATAATCTCTCTATATTTCTTGGCTTGCAGCCATACTGCTACATAACGCTCCTTAAGATTTACACTTTGGTTCTCAACTGGTCACTTCGAATCTTTTTTGCTACGAAGTTTCCATCACTTGCCGATCTCCGAAGCTACAGATTTGCCTCTCCTCCGAGACCGATGTTTTGCGTGACATTCATCTGAATGCAGGCAATGAGGGTTACGGTACTGATCCATTTCCACAGTACCGCCGTTGATGCCAACCGTCGAGGCGTCTATCCCTTCCTTAAAATTACCTTTTAGCTTGTGTACCTAACTAATTTACAGCAATGAGACTGTCAAGGTTTCGTCGCTACCAGACCAGCGTGAGAAAACTCAGGCTGGAACCCTATATAGGTCTGTTATGGATTCGTATGAATTCATTAGGGCCACACATGTCGTAAATAAGAACTTAAGCTAATTAAAGTCAATAATTGGTCGGTCACAAGTTACCCCTACACCATGAGCGGCTCAAACCTAAATGCCAACCCGACCAGAAATTCCGCAACCCCCTCCCCATTAAAAACAGCTTAGATTTATCAAAATATTGTCTACAGTTAATAATCCGGAATTCACAGACTGTGATGTTAAGAAAATAGTCAAAGAAACATCCATAGAAATACAGCGTCATCCGGTCACAGCATTCGCAATGGCGTTGCCGAGTACCGTTAACAGAATCACAAACATTACCAGCGCTTGCAATTCACAGCCATGTTCACATTCTTACATAATATACTGTTACGATTTAGGGGTGACTGTAGATGGGGTACTGATTGATAAACAGATTTATTGACAACTTACTGGTCGTAACTACAAATAACTACAACAATATCTCTGATCTCCGAACTTTACAAATCACAAGGACACGCCAGGTCTTCTCGGTCTTTAACAGTCTTATCTTGGCAACGGATTTTAACATAGTAAATAGTATAACAGTCTCACTGCAATTACAGCACACATAAAATCTTCCCTCCACAGCCGGACTTTCAACTACCTGGGTCAGAGTCAAATTCAAAGTCACAATCCGACTGACGGTCAGTCAGTCAGTCAGTCAGTCAGTCAGTAAGTCTTGGTGTCGAGCCCCAAGATATTTATTACTGCTTGATAGTTACGGTCTTGTTTTTTTGGGGGGGGCGCCCTCCCTGACGAGGGGACGGGTATGTCGTTTGTACATGCTGCTGGCTCTTGCCAGCGCAGTCTTTCTTGGGTCCGAGTCCCTTGAGACTGCGACCATATTTTACTGCCTCAGATTTGAGACTTCCTTTTTCGTCACCTCTTACCACTCGCAGGGTCATTTGCGCAGTGGCCATATCTTAACCAATGAGGTTTATCCGAGATTCGATTATTGCTAATAGAAAACTGCCTGGGTCGCTCCAATTGCCTTCCTTGTAACCCCTTTGCACGGATTGAGTATAAAACACAGTAACAGTAACTCTATTATTGTACAGGAGTGTTTACCGCGCCGCTGCATAGCAACTGTTTCTGTCTCTTGTTTGTTTCGAGCTCTTTGCCTAGCAACGGGACCATAGGCCACAATATTTAAATGACCGTCAATTACAGAACAGGCTGGTCTAGGGGTATCACTCTAGATTTGTATTCTGGAGGTATTCGTTTCTGTTCTCGGTCTGGACACAGGCTATCCTAAATGAGGTCCTTTGTGGGTTTCCTTGTTCAGTCCAGGAAAATGCTGGAATATGACCCTGACCAGACCAGGGCCGTTTCCGTCAAAATTCCTTCAAATTCATCATGTACCAATCGCCCTCTCTTATGCTATGAAGTCTGGATACTGACATCATCGTGAAATTAACCACAGCAAATTTTCTGCTACTCAATCACGATCTGTACAAAGAAGCAACAGAAATTAATTTTCATATAGCAGAAACAAATATATATATATATATATATTACTCGTATAAAAGCATACAGGCTGGATCGGCAAGGGTTATAAATGTCATAATAAGACTATGGCGAACTCTTCAGCTATAGCAAACCCACAATACAGTCCAGTGTCGCTGTTCGATATTACTTAATAATTAGTAAAGTTGGTAGGAAGTGAAAACTAGAGGTACACTGAACGAAGAAGCAATTAACATTAAAGCATTGCTTCTCACTGTTACTACACGCATTCGCTTTCAACGCAGTCTAAAATCAATAAAGACAGTTTTCTCTAAATCTCAATTGTGTTCCAGAGGCCATTGTTTTTCTTTTCGTTGTTGTTGAATATGCATGTTTGAAAATGCGCACGTAGCGTCACTTTTGTTTAATTATTTCAAAAACTATAAGACTTGCGATAAAAGCACATTTGGAATAAAATATGTTTTCTTTTTCTTTCACCTTTTGTTCCAAACATGGTTTTTTTTTTCGATAAACATTTAATAAGATGCGCTCAGAAGTGCATGAAAATCGTCATGTAGAATGGTCCCTAAACTTTCCCGATAAAATTAAAACTGTCCAACAGTTGGTCTCTAAATACTGTCATATCAAATTTAATGAAAAGTCTACCCGTTTTATTCGAGCTGTTTCATACGTATGAATGGACGAATTGAGCGAACTTGATGTACGTTCCACATGGTTGCGAAGCAGCCTAAAATGAGGTTGTAAAATGTACCGCCCAGGATACCGCTTGGTTCTCCTGTGCCTGCCCTATCCATGAGCACAGCACCACGCGTTGTAAGGAGCGTCGAGGAACGCCGGCATGTCTACTAGACACAAGTAATGAGGTGGTTGTCCCTACGGACGTAACTTGTCATCTCGAGCCATGCATTATTCAATGTACGGGATTCAGAAATAAGTTCAGCAAGCGGCCTGTTATGGGAAATATACGGTTGACTGGTTGACACTTCTGCGTCACCCTTCTGGGTTTAATAGTCTTTCAAACTAATGATAAGGTTTTCGGTGTTCCTTTCTAGTCCTATGGTAAAGCAAAGACAATGTATTTACATATGCACCAGCCGTTTCCTTTCAAATCCTTGCCAATTCAACGTTCTCATCAATCGTCTCAATGAAAGAAACGTATCAATGTAACTGAGAAATCGCCATTTAAACGTCTCTCTCTCTCTCTCTCTCTCTGTGTTCCCTCTGTCTGCTCGCTTCATAACAAGCAATCGGATCTACACGACGCAGAGTCAATATCTGTGGCGTGGCGCTACCTACATAATTAACATGCATGTACCCTGGTGCAGACATGAAGGGGCTATGATTCCATGTAACTGTTGGATGGATCAGCCGAACTGGTATTTGTGTTTTTCACCCGAACGACTGCGATCGGATGCAACCATTCGAATAGTGGCAACCGAAAAAAAAAATATGTGAAACATGGGAATCGAATGAAAGCATCCAAACGCCGGCAACATAATTAAACTATTCTGGCAGTAGTGTATAGCGAGGAATAGTCCTGTGGCGATTTGTGCAATTAAACATACCCCTAGTAGGGAACCAAAGTTTCACCATGTTCTGATGTTAGTTGGGGTGGGGAGATCAATGAAAACAGATCCCCCCCCCCCTTTGGCACTACAGCCCCAGTGGGCCTAGGCCTACCTCCATGAACTTCTCCGTTCACTTTCGGTTTTTCTAGATCTTACACATTCGGTAGGACTCCTTGGACGGGTGATCAGGTCGTCGCAAGGCCTCTACCTGTACACAAACACAGAGAAACACACACACACACAAACTAAACATCCATGCCCTGAGTGGGATTCGAACCCACGATCCTGGTTTCCAAGCGAGCGAAGACAGTACATGCCTTAGACCGCTCGGCTACCGTGACCGGCTGAAAACAGAATAGCTATCACAAATATATGAGTATCAGTCTTGTATGAAATAGGCTTATGTGTTTATTTATTTGTTTGACGGCCTCTGTGGTCTAGTGGCCAGAGTTCATGCCTACAGATCCAGAGGTCCTCGGTTCGATTCCCGGCGCTACAAGATTTTCTGAGAAGTAGTGGGTCTGGAACGGGCTCCACTCAGCCTTGGAAGGTTAATCGAGGAGCTACTTCAAGGGAATATCGGCTCCGGTCTAGAAAACTGAGATTAACGGCCGTGGGGATCCGTTGCGCTGACCACGTGATACCCTCTATCGTAAAAAGTTTGAACTAAGTTTGCCGAAAAGCAGCGGTCGCTCGGTAGGTATAGTTCGCTTGCAGATTGCAGGCCACGGAGTTTGTTGTAGTTTTTTTTTATTTACTTATTTATTGCTAATGGCACAAAGAAGTACACTAATGATTTCACTATATGACTTATTTCAATGTAGCCGATTAGCTATTTGTAGATCTAACTTAGAGAAACTTCGTGGGTTCTACTTCTACACAAGCCGGGGTAGTTCAGTCGGTCAGTATCGGTCGGCTAGCTGCAGGCTGGACCGCCGAGAGTTTCCATTACAACAGGCATAGACCAGACAAGAGGTAAGCTGAGATATCTCAGTCAGTATCGGTCAGTATTGTGACTGCCTACGGGCTGGACCCCACTGGGGTTCAATAATAAGTGGTGTAATGGAGTAGATCAGACAATATAGTGACCGACAGCCGGTCACGGTAGCCGAGCGGTCTAAGGTATGTACTGTCTTCGCTCGCTTGGAAACCGGGATCGTGGGTTCGAATCCCACTCAGGGCATGGATGTTTAGTTTGTGTGTGCGCGTTTCTCTGTGTTTGTGTACAGGTAGAGGCCTTGCGACGAGCTGATCACCCGCCCAAGGAGTCCTACCGAATGTGTAAGATCTAGAAAACCCGAAGTGAACGGAGAAGTTCATGGAGGTAGGACTAGGCCCACTGGGGCTGTAGTGCCAAGGAAAAAAAATAGTGACCGACAATTGGCCTGACGTTCGGGATTCGGTTGTAAGATATGAAGTGGTGTATATCATGTTAGTTGAATAATCGGAGTTAGATTATAAGATGAGGCTGCGAATTTTCATTTTGCCATAGAGTCCAGACTGGGCCTGAGGCCCACCAAGCCTCCTATGAAATGGGTACCTGGGGCTCTTTCCCCGTTAGTAAAGCGCCTGGAAGTAGAGGTAACCACTCGCGTGTATCTAGTGACAGGGTTAAGATGGATTGAGCTACTTGTGTACCTCCGCTGCATTTCCATTCCACCGGGGTAGCTGAGTCAGTATCTTGGATCAGTTTTGGTTAGTATCACTACCAATAACTCATCCACACTCTCCCCCATTATTAGGATAGCTGACGCCGAATTGAGAGTGTCATAACTACAGCGGAAGTTGTTAAATTCGACCGAATAAGGCGAATAGAATTATTCGATTTTTTTAGTGCAATGTTCAAAGCGAATATATTCATTCAGTTGTTTCTTGTAAATATACAAATTATTCGACAGCTTTCAATAGTCAAATTCTTCGATAGCTTCTATTCGATTGTGACCTTCTCTACACTGAAGTCGATGCCTTACAGCCTTCCCTTTAACAAATAAGCGCGATACACAGTACGTTTAGAAACAAGGGTAATTTTAGCTAATGAAAAGTAAACATTTACAATGTAGGCGAATTTATAGAGTGGACGTAAAGTCTAGCCAACAACTACACAACCAACCAATCAAGTAACCATCAAAGTCTCTAAGTACGAGCAGTTAACTAATAAACCAACCATCAAAATAACTCTGTTACGATGTTTGCCCTCTCCGCTTTGTTCAAATTCATTTATGCTGTCGACCAAGAGCTGTATTCCTCTTGAAGGCTGTTTTGGCGATCGTATTGAGAGCTTTTGGTCTCGGATCGCTCGAACGCTGATGTGGGTACGAAGTGTGGACGCATGTCAGTGTTTCTGAGTTGTGTTGTTCTGTGAAGGTAATTCTTTGCGACAGGCCCATCCCTCGTCCAAGAACACCTACAAACTGTCAAAGCATTCGTAATTTAAGAACTAATTCTGAATCGAGCAAGCGACAGGACCGTGAACACGTGAAGAAGAATATGGGTTTCTCTACTTTCAGGTGAAAATGGGACGCTTGTGTATGCTACTTTTTTTTTTTCATTGGCGCTACAGCCCTCACTTGGGCCTAGACCTATCTCCATGAAACTCTCCGTTTCACTTCGGTTTTACAAGATCTTAGACTTACAGTAGGACTCCTTGGGCGGGTGATCAGCTTGTCACAAGGTCTCTACCTGTACACAAACACAGAAAAACGCACACAAACCTCCATGCCCTGAGTGGGATTCGAACCCACGATCCCGGCTTCCAAGCGAGCGAAGACAGTGTATGTTACTTACACCTATTAATATCCTCCCTGTTAGAAGCGATGTGTTGCATGCATACAGAAACGATAGTTCTTGCTAACGTGCCTTATTCAGCTCCCAGCCCCAAATTTGGGCCGACATTAGATAACATGTAAGCTTTTCGCTCCTATGGTGTGGAATGGTTAAAATCCTTCCCACATATCTTCACAAATTTCCATCTATATCATGGTCACCCAAGTGTCTGCTTACAATTAAGTATTTAATAAAATGGTTGTATGAATCTTTTGCCAAATAAAGCGCATTATGTAACTATCCTCATACCCTAATTGCAGTATTATTATTCACTTTGGAGATAATTCAGGTTCCGTGACTTACCAAACTCCAGGGTTGCTAGCACCATCATGATGAACAGAGACAGCCATCTCCCCAAAATGACAACCCCGGCAGAATGCGACATAGTAGTGCAGCATCTGTAAAATAGCGTCGTCTGCATTACGTCACAAGAGTGACAAAATATGAACACTCTGTGTCGTAGCCAGTCCCGAAACGAGATGCACTGGACGATGTCCAAACGGATGTTTAGAATGTAAAGTTAAATATTTACTCCACGCTGGATTGATGGTCTATGTTGGTGCAGCACGAGGCTCGCTGTAGCATCGCCCATAAGTTAGACAGAAGCAACACTGCAGCCAGTATCATCTGCAGGGGTTTATATGCGTAGCAGTGGGTCAGTTTCCCGCACCAGGTACGTGTGTTGTATTCAAGTCAGCTTCTGGTATTAGACATAAATGTTTTAGTTGTGTAAACTTCTGAATTACAATTATTGCCATGCAGGTAGTAAGACACTGTAAGCAGATGAACACAGCAGGTCTGTTTAGTTAGTTCCTTGTACATAATTTGACGGTCTACGGGATGCACGTCCCGGGTTCGATTCCCAACAGGCAAGGTTTTCTCTTCTCCACAGAGTCCAGACCGGGTCTCAGGACCACTCAGCCTCCTATCCAATGGGAAGCGGGGGCGATTTCCTCGGGGATATAGCGGCCGCGGCGTGAAGTTAACCATTCACCTCCAACTAGTGCCGAGAGGAGATCTACACATTCACTCTCCCATATGTCTTCATGGCTTAGTGCGTAATTATCTAAGCATGGGAACACCTTTTGCCATTTACAGAATTGCAAAATTGGAATGTGATTGAGAGTACAGAAATTTTGGGGTTTAGTGTACTCAGTCACGTCAGCGCCGCGCCCACCATGCACGAGTCACGCCAATGTATCGATCCGTGAACAATCGATATCGTTTCCTCATTTTCTCTGCAACATGAACGTGACGAACATAGGTAAAAAGTCTTTCAGGCCAAGAACTGTTACGCCATTCGTTCTTCAAAATACTACGAGTTCAGAAATATAAAATATTAATAGTTTTTGTGGTTGTGAATGGTGGTCTCTTTACGCTGAGGAAAGGATATTTATTGCTAATATTTGAAAAACAAGCGCTCAGGAAAATATATGAATTACAGGGAGATGAAGTAACGACGAAATAACATTACCTACACAGGGACACGATATTGTTAGGGTGATAAAATAAAGGTTACGATGAGTAGGTTATCTAGCTTGGATGAGAAGAATAGAATTGCTTACATATTTTCTACAGATATGAGACTGATAAGGAGAATGGAGGATAACATAAAATAAATTACATGCTGCAGGAATAGGTCGTGAGGATATGAACTCGGATGAACTGGCCAAAGATAGGTACTAGTATTAGTAAACTTCGAGCCATAATGTATTCTTCGGGTTCTATTGTCGGTCAGTGAGTTTGTATGCTCGATCCATGGTCTATCTAATGACCATAGTATGCTGGCCTGTAGCCTAGGGACTATCGCAAACAACGACACAAGTCCAACTAATGACCTGGAGGAGATTCTCCCAGTATACGGTAGTTGTTCGTTTGACTCGACAGTTCGAGTGGTCGCGTCCAGAATTATCTTTCATGTTAAGTAACAGTCTCACCCATTTGATATAATTTTAATCGTGCACCAGCATTATCAAAAAAGCAAATGAATAATATAAAAAATGCCGGCAACATTTACGGGCGAATAAATTGACTGTCAACATTACGATGGGCATTGTTGAGGCTTACCCGTCTCAGACGCTAGACGCCCGCTGAAGCTGTCACGCAGCACAACCCAACAATCACGTGTGCCTGCCGGAGTTTGCATGCGCTGCTTTAGTATTCTTTGCGCAGAGCCACCTCTTGGCGACATCCTAAATTAGCTCCGACCGGCGTCGCGACCCCTCCAGGGATGCGCAAACTGCAGTGTCATTCGGAATTTTATGTAAAGCACCGACATATGATACAGTGATCGTTTGAGATTGTGTCTTCAGAAATTTCTTTTTTGTTGTTGACCAGATAACTTAACATCGTGTGTCGTACTTAAACAGCTTTATCAACAATGCACGAGCGCTGTTAGCTTTACCCAGAGTGTGTGTCTGCCTGCATTTCATGCACACGTTCTGCATTTTGACGGAGTGTGGCATTTAGGCCCACTGTTATATGAAATTGATTGGCTCAAGTTTTCGACGAAAACTGCGCGTATCCCTCAAGATATTTCAGTAAGACAACGATCAAGAATAAATGTGAAAAATATTTTGTGTCCAACACTCGACATGCTATTGTGTAGTTTATCATCATCAATATAACGATGTCACTGATTTTTCGTCCCGGTGATTAAAAACCTTGATCGTATGTGGCTGGGTAGCTTGGAACACAGACCGCTGCAAGAAATTAAAAGTATAAGCATGTACGAACACGTGCATTCTAAGAGAGCAAAAAATGTAATTCCAGTCGGAAGCCTTCATTGTCAGAAACAGATTGTGTACAAGAAATTAAAGGAATAAACATACATGCATTCTTGAAAATACTTTATTCCCAGTAGAGATCTCAATTTTCAGAAATTTCCAAGATAATTAAAGGAGCATCCTCGAGCCATATTTTGTCGTATAACGGCTGTAAGATTTTTTAAACGCTGCGAATTAAATGGGAATTGCTTAACATCGCCGCTTCCGATCCTTAAACGGGGGCACAATTTTCCTGGAATACTGCCAGATATGCACGTTATGACTCCACTTTCGAGCCAGCCTCGTCCACCTTCAAAAGAATCCGTTCTTTAACTGCTTTCGCAACAAGATTTTGCAGACGTTCATCTATTATAATAGATGAACGTCAGACAGACAAGGCGAAGATAATTATCTTCGCCTTGTCTGTCTGACGTTCATCTATTATAATAGATGAACGTCAGACAGACAAGGCGAAGATAATTATCTTCGCCTTGTCTGTCTGACCATCCTTCTGTCTGTCAGTTACTAAATTGGACTTGTATGGGCTTAGAGGAAAAATCCATTAGTGGATGACCTCGTATCTAACAAATAGATTCCAATATGTAGAAATTTATCACCAGGACCATGGATCCTGTTATTCTAAGTCCTTTACCTCGTCACTTAAGGAAATTAAACATGGTGTTCCACAGGGATCTGTTTTGGGTCCTCTGTTGTTTTTATTATTCATTAATGATTTGCCACATGCTATACCTCAGGCTAAGGTTGTACTATTTGCAGATGACACTAATATATTGTTCAGTGACAACTCTCTTAGTTCTTTAAATATAAAAATCAAAAAGGTTATTGATCAACTAGAAAGTTGGTTTAATGTGAATCAACTTTTTGTTAACACTGACAAGACCAAAGTATTATTTTTCCATGGAAAAGGATCTACTTCTAGGAACAGACCGGTCATACGTTTATTCAATAGGGAATTAGTATATTCATCTTCGGTGAAATTCTTGGGTATTGATATCTCTGAAAATTTGAGCTGGTTGAATCACACTCAATATATCTGCCTTAAGCTGAGCAAGGCTCTATATCTGATCAAATCCTTACGTAATTCTGTTAGTTTACAGGTATTAAGAAATGTATATTTTACTAAATTTGAATCCATATTTAAGTATGGTATTATGTTTTGGGGTGGTGGAGGTAAAGAGATAGATACAGTTTTTAAAGTACAAAAAAAATGCATAAGAGCCATTATGGGCGTTGATAATAGGGCATCCTGCAGAAGACTGACTGGTGAGTTAGAAATTTTAACTGTTACTTCTTTGTATATACTGGAGATTTTATGTTTTATCATAAAAAATAGAATCTATACAACTCTGAACTCTGATGTGCATAATTACAATACAAAGCATAAACATAATCTGTATGCCCAACATTGTAATACAAATCGTTGTAAGAGAAGTGTGATAAACATGGGCATAAAACTATACAATAATCTTCCTATGGAGTTAAAGAATGTATCTGATTTTAAAGTGTTTAGGAGGAAATTGAAGTGTTATTTGTTGCATAATGCCTTCTACTCTCTTCAGGAGTTTTTTTTATATGTAAGATGTATTAAATGACTGTAATTGTCTGTTAATGCATGTGCTGGTGGTTTTTTATATAATATATTTAAGTATTTATGTATTCTTTGATTATGTTAGGTGTGATTGTTATTAAATCTATATATTCCCTTTGACTTTATCCGATTGTATATTTTACAGTTATGGATGTAAATAAAATTATGAATTATGAAAGTCGGTACTTTTTCGCAAGTGATCTATATTATTTGTGTTAATAAAGTTTTATAACATTAAACACTGTGGTACCATTCTTTATAGATAACCCAATTATCTACACTTTGGGTATTTTGAAACGAAAGATGATATGTGTGAAAATGAGGGGAAAACTAAGTAGCTGTGAACATGAGACGCTCAAGGTAATTTGTATGGGCAAAAGTCGATCCTCGGAGAACGATGACGAAGTCCAGATTGAGTGATGATCACATTAATATGGTAGCTCAATTTATTAAAATGAAGTGTACAGTGGGTACATCGAATCCCGATGAGGTCATTGAATTTTTTCAATTGACGCAATCCTTCCAGCCGCACTGTGGGCCTGGGGTCAACTCATCCTCTAACAGAAATGAGTACCAGGAATCTTCCTTGGGGTAAAGGGCGGCCGGCAAGTGAGACTGACAGCCTCACCGCCATCTGTTAGCTGATTTTCTAGAAAATGTGGGAGTTTCGATGTCTCACAACCCTACGGGCCTCCATGACCTGGTACAGGAGGGTACACCCTGATCACGAAGATAGAGGCGATAGGATTCTCCTAACCGTCAGAGGATTACTACCAAACTATTCGGCGTTACAACCCAGAAGTAGTAGTCCCGAATCCAGAATCCCAATTTCGTAAATTATGGGTGTCTATTCAAATATTCTTGCCAATGTGAAATTCAAAATATGACGGCCGCATAGATTTCACGGGAGGACACCAATAATTCCGAAGAACATCAAGAAAACGAATTTTGGAAACAGTAGACAAAAGCAGGATAAAGCTGCCCCTCTAGCAGACCGTGGAGGTTCCCACATTTTGTAGACAATTGACTCGCATAAGAGGATGAGGTTGTCAGCCTTATGCGCTGGCTCCTCTGCATAGTGAAAAATTTAGTTCAAACAACCATAAAATATGCATTTATATCACGTAATTATATTTACATACTTTATACACAAATATTTTCAGCAGTACCAGAAAAAGATATATGTCAAAATACCTCGAATGTAGAAACACGAAATAATTCACTTTAAGGGCACCACCAGCATTTAGTACAACATGGGACTAAACAAGTAGCCTAGCATATAAAATGTAGACTAGGATCACCTGCAGTCTTTTGGTTGTTCTGGGGGATCTATTAGCAGCAATTATGGAATGTTTAAGTATATAAAGGACTGTTACAAACATACAACCATACAAGCAGATCGTTTCAATTTTGAATCCCCCACCCCTACCCAAAAGCTCTTTGGTGTCGTTATGGGGGTTGTTTTTTCGGAGCAGTGACCCCAAAAATTTCAATATTTTCCACTTTATTAAGCTAAAGTTAAAAAATATATCACAAGATAAAAAATCATAATTGTGAATAAAATAATCTGCATTTTCAATGTTCTTGCTTGCCATACCTTCTAATGATAAAGGCACAAAAACAAAATTACAACATTTGGACTTATGTTTGGAACTAGATGTAAACATTGAGGAAAAGAATCGATATTTATAATATAATGACCGTTGTGAATAATGTGAATACAAACCTAGGTACCAAGAGAATAATATTACATAGATCAGAAATTAAATTCTGAGGGCATTAGTTGGATTCACAGAGTGTTTGATAAAATAAACGAGAGAGCCAAACCACAAATTAGAAGTTAATCACCTTAGGAAACCTTACGTTGTTCAAATGAATTCTGGCATGCCATGTGGAAGTAAATATCGTCTCAGCCATTATTTTTCAACTGGTGGAATGTGTCTCAGTGGTGGAATTCGATGGTTGGCTTGGTGAACAAGAGATATCAAAAATATATTCAGCCACACAAAATTAACTATAAAAAAAAAAAACATCCTACATGTTAGGCACAAACATGTAATTTAATCCTGCACCACAATCATACTTTTGCTAACAGAACTAAAGTCTAAGTTTTTTGTGCGTGTTAATTAGAGTCAGTGAGCAGAGGAATATCCTACACGAAATAAGAAAACAGAAGGCTAATTGGATTGGTCATGTTTTACACAGAAACTGCCTTCTAAAAAAGTTATTGGAGGAAAGATAGAGGGGCGGATAGAAGTGACAAGAAGACGTAAGAAGATGCTGGATGACCTTGGGGACAGAAGAGGATACTGTCATTTGAAGGAGAAAGCTCTAGATCGCATTAAGTGGAGGAATTGTTTTGGAAGAGACTGTGGACCTGTCATCTGACAGATTACTGATGATGATTCTGTGATATGTATACTCTTCAGCCCTTTTCAGAGCCATGGCTGTGGGAACATCAAATAATACAGCGACAATATTTTATATACTGCTTTTTTTAATGAAACAAAATTGTTACAACCCTCCAATTCTAAAAGAGCTTCCAGTAAAATTATAATATAAAATGTGAATTGTATAAACAGAAATTTATATTTCATTTTTTCTTGTTTTTTTACTATATGTGTAGTAGAACTGTGGTACTTTGACAAAATGGATAGTGGGACATGAGCTATATAATGTTGATCACTGTTCTATGCCATGCTCCAAGTTCTTCGAAGCCCTGGTATACTTCATCTGTGATGACTAAGATTATTTAGATTATAAGGTATACCTACACCTTCAAAGAGTGTG